AGTATGAAAGCCATTACCAGCAAACTCAGCTGCGCTGGTCACTGCCGTCTTCCTGGATGGGGACCCCGATACGGGCCACATCAATGGCTAGAGACATTGGCAGACATGGCCCAGTCGCGCCCTCAATGGCGCTCGTGCATCAAAGTTATTGACTTCAATGCATAGCTCCTTTTCCAACCCCCCTTACTTGACAGCCCACTGACAGTGCTGGATTTATATACCAATTTATCATCTCTCGCCTGCAATGTGCAGCTACTTACCCCCCAATCATCGGTGAACGAAACTTCGGCAGCCACAACCACTGTACGATAAGTACGCGGTTATTGCAGCTGACAGTGATGATGACTACATCTAGTGGAAAGCCTAGGTTCATCCTAGTCAATCACAGAGTTCATGTGTAGAAGGGCCACATTCCTGCGTAGTTGTCGATATCATTGGAAAAATGGTGCGTACCCGCTAGCCACAGTAGATATTACACTAGTACCAATGAATTCGGGTTTGTACACCAACACTGATAAGACAAACAGGTGTTCCGGTATTGACTAAGTCAGCATAACCCACTCACAACAAAACCTAAACTAACAGCAAACTTAAGCCACGCGGACGTTACACAGACAAGAACGATGATTTTCATTCGTGTATCTAAAGCTACAGCTGCGTACTAGTTGGTCCATCATTAGGGCGCTCGTATACATTGAATGGCACAATAAAATTCAAGTTAACGTTTGAAATCACTTTCGTCGTTCTGATTCAAGGGACAGAGCGAAAATTCGTTAGGATTAACGGAGTAGCAGAAACCGGGCTGAGAAAACCTCGAAAGTTTGACAGAGGATGACAACGATGGGGAATTGGATATGCCAAAGGTCAGCCAGCCAAAAGGCAGGTGGAATGATGTCAGGTTTTCTGAAGGCTATGAATACAGCAACATGTGAGATGTCAATCCGCTGGTAGTGTGAGGGGGGTTGGAATTTTCAATGGAAGTTTCAGCAATGTTTGCTGAAAAGCCGAGAAACACTATAGGGCTGTTTCATTCTTATTAGGAATCATCAGCACTGCGCAAAGCAGGAAATCTCGAATCCGCGAGCTTCCTCCCGGTAATCTGAACGTGAACTGTTTGTCGCCCCTCGTCTTCAAACTACCGGTCGGGTGGTCGTGAGTTCAAGACTCCCTGGGGTTTCATGAGACTCGCGATGCCGATGATCCTCAGTACGGATGAAACAGTTGTACAGTGTTTTTCGGCTTTTCAGCATACACTGGCTTCACTTACAGGATGAAATCTCCATTTAAAGATATCAATCTACCCACCATCTGACACTCAAATGACACACCTATGGAATGTTGTGAGAGGTAATAGTCGATAAAATAGTTGTTATCTATTCAGTCTCTTCTGTGAACTAATGTCATACGGCACCTGTGTGCTAATTCGGCTCCATAAAACGATATGGGACTTCTTTGAAGTTAGACCTCGTTATAACGTTACCCAAGATTACCACTGGTTTCCGCGGTAGGTGATGTTATTAAGAGGTTGGACTGCACCAAGTCCTGCAGGAACCGAATGCTGCACTACACCGTGGAAAAAAATTCAAAGTGCGATAAACAGTTCACGGCCAAGCAGCAAACTGGAGTTGAGCTTACTGACTTAGGGCTAATCCTCGTGTGTAAATGTAAATAATTGTGGCGCTCAGGTAAAAACCACCGAAAAGTCCGAAAGTCACCAGAAACAAGCTCACTCAGATCTACATTGTCTAAATTATTTTTGGACTCATAATACCACCCAAGAAGAGCCAAAACTTTCGCCTTTGAGTAGCCGGAGGAGATCTTGGCACTTTTGAAACATGGTAGCATAAAAACACTTACTGGAAAAATTTAAAGCGTCGTTGGGAAACTGACAAGCGAGTCCAACAAGTGGCACATCCTCAGCTGGATGCAGATAGGGGCCATCGTTGAGCGTAAAGCAGGGTCGGCTCGATTGTAGGGAGGGGTCACGTCGAACTATAGGAACGATGATTCCACAATCAGAAAAACGCAAGTAGACAGCCAAGTCTGTTTGCACACTGAGTTGATATACGCAACATGAGGAATTCCAAAAGGTTCGAGCGCGGATGACTCCGGGAAGATCGGCACACAGCTGGACATTATTTACTGAGACGAAAGAGGAAATCGACCGGCAAAGGGGCAACTTTGTTAATGTGGTAAGTTACCAAGAACGAAAGACAAATGTAATATACTAGAGCACAAATTGCAAACCTCCAAAACCCATCTTACTACATTTTACCAGTTCCGCACATGGTAACAGTGAAGGAATTTCGTCAAACTCCGCAGTCGAAAGACTTCATTCAAAATGCACCTTGTCTCATACTGTTTAATTCACAATGAGGTAAACTAAATTGGGAAATGGGATGAAAAGTTCGGACCAGAAAGTGTTCGTGAAAAGTCTTAGTTAAAGTGCCAACACGCGAAGCAAGAGGTACTACTGATGAAATATTCTTGAAAGTGTATATCACTACGGTTTGCCAAAGGTCTAGCAAAGCACATACATTAACATAGACGCAAACACATGAACACAGATGGGTCTATGCTGAAAAGTTTTATATAAGCGACACCAGCAGCATACTTCGATTTCAATACCGAAGTTGATGTTACCCAGATGTCACATGCCAACTTGATCCTCGATTTTGCCGATCACTCCGTCGGAACCCATTTCGTCAAACAATCAGGATGCCGAATTCGATGTGAATGATTTGACTTGGCAAAACGAGCAATTTTACCGGTCAGTCTGTCCAACCAACGGGTTGGGATCTGTATCCGAAGACAACCACTTGCGATACTTTATCGCGGCTGGGAATAAACTGTCTATTGCATGAACAATACTCAACATTTTGGCACATGAACACTGAAACCCGGTAACACTTCTCTACTTTCCTGGATGGAGAGAAATGAGCTTTTCTTCCGCCTGGACTACATACTGTTATGTTTTATCAGCCCCAGGAATGCTGTCATTTCAGTGCCGCTTGAACCAAAAGCCTCATTCAAAAGAGCTACCTCTGAACACTAAAAACTAGCAACATTTTCTGCGGGCTTCTGTGCATTTGAAACTGTCCTACAGTGTTTTCAGTAGTTCATTTCGAAGGATGATTACCGCATGAAACGTTTGCAACACTGCACTGGTTCGACAGCCTAAATGAGTATTTAATCACAAGTTCCCAATCAGTTACGGTATCTGTCTTGTATGCATTGTATGCCATTCAAGGGAAGCATGAGGGTTGGGATATTGTCGAGCTGCCAAAACCCATACAGGGGCAACCGAAAACACAGAGCAGGGTTAGAAACACAGAACTGAAAATAGTAACGGATGCTTGCAGACCTCGGAAAGATTTCACTTTACGTTAGAAGCCGGAAGCTGTAGCTGTGATTACGGCGCAGCACGGACACAAAAAGTACCTTCCAACTTGGACGAACGGGTTGTCTTAAGTTTACGAACACAGGTGGTCTGTCGTAAAGGAAATAGCAAGACTAGGCATTCTGATCCCTTTTCTAGTTCTGCAGATGAGACTCTCATCATTAGAAGAGGTAAGCTAAGTGCACCCACTATGCCCTCAGGTACACAGTTACGTTTCGACAGTATCTGCAAAGTTGAAGGTGATATACCATTTACAAAAATGATGGCTCGTGCCTTCCACAGTCAGTTTATCCGTGCTTTTCCGAGGTTGATAGTAATACCGTATTTCCTACCAGGGATAAACTCGTGATCCTAATCTAATCGTGTTTAGAGCACAGTGACCAATGCTGCCATTGTACTTTCAAACAGCGTGTATCTCGGAAAAGCGGTGGTAAAATCCAAATGTCCTAGTACTATAGAAAAGATGCGCTCATCAATTACGAAAAGTAACGAACTCTGAAAAGCTGCACTCAGATGGTTTTATGGGGGTTCGCTTTCCGGAGGGAACACGACAGTCATGTAGAAAATGAATAATAATTATAAAAGGCGTACACAAACTCACTTGAGTCCGAAGACTTCCTGGTAAATGGAAAGCCCTCACATCTTCCGGCAGAAGCGAAAGTTGGGCAGTCTCGCGCGGTGGATGCTGAGAGGAAACGGGCAAGATTTCCCACCTGGGTGGCAACAGAGGTCGCTAAATAGACCGTGTGAAGAAGCCAGTCGGCAGGTAGACGGATTTCTAGGGAATCACGGGAAACCAATCGCCATTCGAATTCCGGTAAATGGGATAGATCTGGACTATGTGACCTAAAGCGCAGTACAAAGAAGGTCGGTGTCAGACAAATAAAACGACCAAAACTATGAAAAAGGTGACCAGCAAAATATAAAACGAGTGAACCAATCACTTACCACAGTTCCGGACTGTTCAGGGTCCAAGAGTACCAGGTGAGTTTGGACAAAGAGAGTAGTGGAATTTCATTCGAAGGTGAGACAGTGCCTGGCAGGAGATGTAACAAAACTGTGCTCAACCGGATGCATCCTCTCCTGAAGGCATGCATAAAGATTTCAGGCTCACTGCTTGAGATTACGCCTGATGGTTTAGCTTCCGTTGGCCACGATGCTTCGGTCATCAAACAGTCAGTCATCCGACGCAAAATAGTCTCCGAGAAGCGCCAACGTTTCAAGTGATTAAATACTTCCAGAGGGTACAGCGGAGTGATCCGAGACCATGTTATGTTGTCTGATTGAAACCGTAAGTGAGGTGTTTCCGTGAACTAGTGGGCAGGGGATAAAACACAGATGAATAAGATGGCTGGTCGCCCACGCAAGAGAACACTTTGGAAATTATAAAATAACCAGTGGGATTGAGTACATATTTACAAATTACGCTGGACTAATGGAAAACTCAAATGATAAATAATTGAATGTGGGCTTTCTGAGTGTGCGTCAGCAACGTAAATAGCGTCGTCTCAGAGAAGAATGTACTTTAGCAAGACGGACCGGTAGATTGTGTACATATCTTTTAAACACGGTTGAGTATAGTATCACACTTAGACACATGCAACACTGTTTAATTCCAGTACCATCCCATTCTATACAGGACTCCACAAACTGCGAACAAAGTATATCTTGGTGGTCTAGCTAGGGGTGTGTTCGCGCAGGTGAAGAGTCCGCAGTCCAGTTGAGAAGTGAGAAATGTGGGAAGACGAAAACTTCTCGAGAAACCGAGCGGTACCAGGACTCCACAAACTGCGAACAAACTATATCTTGGTGGTCTAGCTAGGCAATAATAAAACGCTGATCTCTGGGGTGTGTTCACGCAGGCGAAGAGTCCGCAGTCCAGTCGAGAAGTGGGAAATATGGGAAGACGAAAACTTCTCGAGAAACCGAGCGGTACTGAGCGCTTGCGGACCAAAATCAGGGGCACATATCAACCGAATCCGGAAGACTATCAGGGAGCACTTGTCAAACACGTTCCATAGATCTTGATGTTCGGAGGTCCGTCTGCTGTGCTTGACACTTGAGCATTCTCTTTTGTGAGTTAACACCTGCATTGCAGTCACTTTTACGAGCGCTCATTTCGGAAATAAGTGTTATTATCGATCCACACTCGTTGTTACCTTCTCCCAGACAGAACCAGACGAAACAAATAAATGGATGACAACCGAGTCGTATTTGCAGCATTCGTAACAAAGTGGGCTCCGGTGGATAGCTGGACAGATGTCGACGGTGTGTAGGCGCGAATGTAGAGAGCTACATTCAACTCCTTGTAAAAAATTGGACGGATGCTGGACAGATGTCGATGGTGTGTGTAGGCGCGAATGTAGAGAGAGCTACATTCAACTCCTTGTAAAAAATTGGACGGACGTAAATGGGTATGGTGTAAGTCGCTAACCGGTCTAAACATGATGCTATAGCAATGTGGGCCGGCACCAGTGGCATGTTTGTCAGCCATCACTTCTTTTAGGTTTCGGCATAAGCGTACGTCTTCCAGTAAGGCACCAGACAAATTATCGTGAGAACTACCCATCAACGCACAGTTGGGGTGACAAACGATAGTCTGGTAGTCCCCACCAAATGTGTCGCTAAAGCTACTGTCACCAGAACGGTATTGCTGGACAAATACAGAGTAATGAGGAGAACGTGGTCGAAAAGGCGCACCTAAAAAGTTCGTCAAAATTTGTTCGACGTGTTCCATTTAGAAGGTGACCAACCTTTTCGGAAAATCCTTCTCGCGCAACGATGTGGGAGTGGAAACATGTCAGACGAGGTTAAATAATGACTCAGCAGCAAACGCAGCCACGTTAGTCATTGTCATCTCCTTCGATGTGGACCCCGATACGGGACAAATCAGTGATTAGAAACACTGTTAGGCATGGACAAATCGCCTGCACAATGGCGCGCATGCATTCAAGCTGTTTCCCTCAGTGCATGACTTCCACCCACGCCCCCGATCTTCCCAATGAAAGTTTACTCATGCCCCTGCATTCAAGCACCAATTACATCAGCCACCGCCTCCAGTGCGTAACTATCTACCCCGAACTCTCCGGATCATTGGCGGACGAAACTAGGGAAGCTACAACCGCTATACAGCAAGTACACGGTTTTTCTAGCTGATGATGGTGATGACCTCATCACTAATATGCACTGTAGGCCCATCCGTTAGGACTGACGATCCTGCTTGTCTTGTACTGGCCTTGGCCGTAACATGTAGTTTGTTGTATGGCAACTAGACATTCGTGTTAAAAACTGACGTTCTGTCGATGGCGATGGGAAAACTTACGGTACGTCGTTTAGAACCGAAAAGCCGAATAAAAACTGATAGGAGTAAAAACCCAAATTCAAGAGGTCTCAATTTGAACTCACATTGTTGTTCCAGTGCTCTGCAAAATAATACACCGTAGGAGAGGCAATCACCACGCGAATAGTTTGGACTGCGATTCCATCGAAGAATTGGGGCAGTTGGGATCTGATGAGGGGTGGATATTCACTTGGGGCTACAAAAAGGGAAGGGCTAGATTAAGAGTGATCAGTGAATGGTCCATCATGGTTCACTACACACATCGTTCGAATATCACATTATTGACATTCATACCTTGTTGCACGTGCGGATCCCTGCTGCATCATGACTTGCTCTCGCTAGCTGTGACCGGATACATCATAAGCAACTGTGTATTAGGCTACTAAATATCGGTCTTAGCTGATAGGTTCATATCGAAAACTGGGGTCATGCGCGAAAATTAATTCGAGTATTGATCTGGATTAAAGTACGATTGTTTGACAAGATTCTCTCGTCGACACCCACGTGAATACTGGTCTGAAGTTTCTGAACACTACATACGAGGCGAAAGTAACGGTAGAGCAGATATAACGGCGAGTTCAAGTGTCTGGCAGTAAACCTAGGCTAGGAACTCTATTCACACAAAGATAAGCCTTCTTGGTTGTATCAAGTGACCACTCGGTGCCAGACCAGTTTGCGATAACAAATGTCACCTCCACTGATTCCGACAGTTGGGTAACTTCATGCCCACTCAATGAGCAGAGTCACTCAAGTATGACACATACCACTCGTACCCCGAAATAGCGACCTTTTGGGACTGTAATTGGGGAACGGAGGCACACCGCTTTTGCTAATGTGCACCATAGAAAACGATCACCACGAAACAGTCTGAAGTACCGGCTGCCGACTCACGTGGTTTTCACTTTTTTTCCTGTCTATAAACTTGAGTAATCGGACAAGATCGCAATTATCATGATTTCCGGGGTGCACGGAAATGGTTCATCAGAAGGTTGCGACAGCTGAGCGATTCGATTTGACCTAATGAACAGAATCGGAAAGGAAATTATCCCTTACAAATTCTTCAACATCCGACAGATGCACTCACATAGAGCGTGGAACGTGTCCATGTGTATTGTTTAAGATACTGCATAGGATTAGTTCTGTTCATATATCAACAATGAAAGCCAGTTAGGAGGCTCTTTCTGGGAAAGCCTATTTAAACCTATTGTCACGAGCTACTGTTGACACCATGGCCCTTAACTTGAGCTCAACGGAAGAAGCTTTTTATCAGAAACTGTATGGCTCGTCCTATCCAATAAAGTATGCAGATTTATGTAGTCAGTTATCATGATCCAACTTTAGTAACGCAATCGGATGCAGTGTCCTTGAGATGAGACACGCAAGTTTTTTTTAATCGATAAGATTAACTGACATACCTGGACTGTTCATTTTTAGACAGCACGGGTATCGGGGATGTCGTTTCACCGTTTTGATAAATGCTTCGAATCGATGGAGAATTACCTGGACTGCTCATTTTTAGACAGCATGGGTATCGGGGATGTCGTTTCACCGATTTGATAAATGCTTCGAATCGATGGAGAATAGTGGGGGAAAGGTATACCAACGATTGATTTGACAGAACCCTCAGGTGGACTCGCTCAGTAACTCCATCCGTTTGTCCCGAACGTATTCGTGGAACTAAAGGAGAAGGAAGTATGAGTAGATCATTTCAGGAAAATTGTGACCAGCGAGTTTGTCCACAGGCGAGCATCTCTCTTTCGCCCTATGGAGTGTCACCAGTGACTCTATCGCCAGGTTGCTGGTGACAAACAACTGTCCTCACTAACCTCTGATGGGCTTAAAGGGACAGTCAACCTGAAGAATGCGTGTGCATGATAAAAGATTGATCAATATGAGACCGATTTAGCCGAGCATACAACCGTGCAGATGCTAATCATAACTGCCTTTATCGCATGTGGCCGACCACTCCAGTAATTTGCCGGCATCCAATAGATTGCCTAGACAAGTATCAGAAAATCACCGACATTCAGACAAACAGATAGGCCCCTAATAAAGTACCCCAACCGAACAACCAGTTGGAATTACGAAGCATGCGTAATCAATTCAGGTTTACATCGAATAACATGCGAAGTAATACATAAACATTTGCATTTTCGGTTGCATTCGACCGTGTGTACCACAATGCTAGTTGGATCGATCGATCAATCGATCTTGGAGGTGATACACACACTGTCAGTTATCGAGAGCGGGGTGAGTAGATTTTCAAGACCCGTGCATAGATAGGTTTTACTGAGATAAAACAAGGCAACTGTACTGGAAAATCTCATATGAAGTGAACGGGTTCAACCTATTTGTACTGACTTGGTCATACAAGGTGAATCAGATAGCAAAGAGTGGCTAAATAAAGTAGGGTTTTCAGAATCTGGTAAGACATGTACCAGCTGACATGCTGCAAGGGATAACTACAGTGCTAGCTGCGCAGGGCCTACAAATCTTCACCGTAACTATAAGGAAGAAAAAGGTGTGAGCATAGTACTGGACAGTCAGTAAAACTTTGAAAGGGAAAACCTTAAAAAAAGTCCGGTATCATAAATTTTGTCACTAAGTGCGAAACCTGTCTTGGGAAAATCGATGAGCTTGTCACCTTTGTGCAGAAATTCACTAAAAGGGTTCGGTAACGCTCTTGCGCAGTTGCAGACAGAACAACCTTCTTCTTGAGAAATTTTCGCTTGAACGACCTGACCGGGACTCCACAGTTATGAAGACAAAGTGGTGTACTAAACTAAGTGGACCTCCATTGGCGATCGAAACGGCTTTTTCGAAGTACATAACCGTATGCACACCAAAATTCCTCGAGCACTACAGGCCGGGACTGTAAACGCGCAGACCTTGAGAATTTTAGCAATGCCTCCTCGGAATATCAAAATTCTGTGGAAGCCTTGTCGCTTCCATAAGTCTGTGGCAAACTCGAATGGACTCATAAAGACTTTCCCAGAGGAATCGGTCTGCCTACAACTACTGACTCTCCAACGCGAAATCATGTCAATCTCGACTTCAGCGCACTCGACGTGAGCCAATCTTGACGACGCCTCACCGTAACATGATCAAAGTTCCCCCAAGGGTGTACTGGACAGACAATCGAGGCTAAAGAATTCATAGTCTCTGATGCTTGGGACCTAATTACATATTGCGTTATAGGTTCGATTTGGGCTATGCCGTAAAAACACTAGTTACCCACCCAGACGTTTAACTTCACCTGAGCTTACAAAATACCATCGCCACGACAAAAGAGTATACATATGTGGGGACTAGGTAACGACAAAGCACTATTCTATCTTTATTTAAAGCGCGAATGCCTCATACACAAAAATCCTGAAGGCGACAAAAGCACGAAAAACTCTCACCGGGGTTAGCGACCAGCTAAAGCACTTGTTTGTTGCTAAACCATTTATCAACGATGCTCCTTAACGTAAACAAGAGTGAACCAACCAATTCGATGTTGGGTCGTCCTCTGGTTATCCTGCATTAATCACGTGGGACACGTATTCCTAAAAACCCGACGACTGGATCTGTTATCAGACAATTGACCATTCTATACACTTCTCTTTCCAAAATCAAAATTTTCACACTCGTCACTACCAATCCGTAACACTATAGTGCTTACCAACCGTTTGTGTACAACGTGGAAAGTTGACTTTATTACCACCAGACGTTTTATTCGAATCCTTTACTCATCCGGCAGTACTTCACCCAGTTTCATAATTGGAAACCTGGAAGATCGGCACGCCACAACTTTCTCAGATCTCGACATGATTCTTCTCACCCCCGACACCGAGTTACGAGACAGTCTTCTCAAAATTCTCAAAATTACTACTCTTTCATAGGCATCCAACCCAATCCCAATTTCGTAATTTTGTACATGCATTCGCAAGTAATCGTATCTTTAAGAAATCCGTTACACGGCTTATCTGGATGAACAAAGAAGACCTCGTATCTTACCGTCTTATCCGTGTGACAAAAAGTTTTGTGTAGGCTATGTATACAGATTCCAAAAGCTTAGGACTTTGCGGTGCAGTGGATAGACGTTTTTGTTGTGATTAGTTTCACAAGAAACAATGTGAGAACGAAGAATACCACTTTGCGAACTGGAACCATAACGAGGATGTATTCAAATCCCAGTAGGCAAGTGTGGTGACACTGACTGTAACATGTGTGATGCAGGTCCCACACTGAGAATTCATCAATAATGATTATGGGAGGCATCCTTGCATACAAGAAAGGTCAATATGATAGTGAGTATAGAGCACGCAGCAGAAGACGTGGTCTGCTATTGGACGCAATTTACTGAGCAGAAAAACTCACGCTGATTCAATCGAATGTCGGGGTTTTCGGAGTCCATCGACGTGATTAGATCGAACCAGAGAGCCGGATATTCTTGACACACGAAGGAATCGTGGAATCTGGACAGATACGTCTCCACGGATAACGGAGGTAGAGACATAGGATCCTCATCGAAAGACGTGGGTGAGTGAAGAACAGAATGAAACACACGACGCAAGTGCACCGGATCCGCCTGCGCATCCATCGGATCGCCGAGCTCAAGGAAAGTTTGGTGCTATATGAGTGGTTAGCATGGGAGGATAATTAATAAGGAGAATGGGGATGTATGTTTCAAGTATATAACTGCAGTTGGCTGTGCAGTGCGACTGAGTAGAATGACCGGATTTGGAAGAAGTGTGTGCTTAAGGCACGTGCTTAAAGTAAACCAAGCTCCTTGGCTTTCAAAGTCAAACTATTTTGGTAACGTGAAGATGCTTCTGTCAAATCGGACCATCCAGCAGCATCGTTTGGTTGCACCACCGACTGCAGTTAGACACTGCTGAAAGACTGGTCCGAACAGATTAGCGATTGCTTTGTGGTGGCAAGGAAAAAATGATACTCAGGAGTTATTGGATAGGGGGATATCGACATTGGGAACTTATTTGCATTTTCCAATTAGAGGACTGAGGACATGCGAATAGCCAAGCAATGAAGATCTGAAAAAGACGAGGCTCGGAATTATCGATGTGTGGTTAGAACAATCAAGGCACACTGGCTAAGTCCTACAAGGGAACCAGCTCAGGAATCCACATACCCTAGCTCGGTTCGTGTCAATCCTAAGAGTACCAGTTACTTAAAATTCAACAACTCAGGTGATCACGTTTTGGTCTTTCACTGCAGTGATTTGCTTTCCTTGGGGAATGACCACTGATTGAAAGGTGCTACTGGGCGGGACAAAGCACGCAGTGTCACAAGGACTGTAACCTTAAAGTACAATCCTGGCAAGAAAAATTTGCAGCACGACTTCCGGCCAAGTAAAGTAAACTACCAGACACTGATTCGAACTCTCGTACAAGGACCTAGCCTAGCTAGGTATGTACAACTTGTTAACCACCACGTGTAACAGCTCAACATTTTCGCATAGTGGATGACTGGAAATTCCATTATGATACATGAGCAGTGAGTTCGGTAAGGGGAACTTTTGTCAGGATGCAGCTGGTTGGCTGGTAGCAATCTGTGTTGAAATACAGTACAGCCAAAACCTATGCTGTATGTGAACAGATAAACCGTTTCGAAGATTCTCGCGCCACCTAGCAACACGGGAAACGAAACAAATGAATAAAAGAGGAAGACTTAACACTGACCGAGTGCTCCACGGATGCCTTTGGAGAAGGACTATTTGAGTCATGATCTTCAGGAACAAAGGTTTTTGCCAGATCCAGGTAGCCACACGGACAGCTTGGACCGATTGGGAATGCCGAGATGTGCTTAGCACCAAGTTGAACGGAAGTGAAATGGGCACCGAGCGAAGTAGCTTGGAGTGCTAAGCCCTGAAAGAGTATGGAAGATTCAAATAGTAATAATATAAACAGAGCTCAAGAGGGGCGGGGCAAAATAAAGGCATTAAGACCTGAACCGTATTTAAAGAAACGACAAATAACTGCCCTAGTCACACATCCCATTTCGATAGCGTCTCCGAACTAGTACGTACCTCGTACGTCCCAGTTTCCGAACAAGTAAAAACAGTGAACCGTCGGTATGAAGTCGATGATATTAGTGGTACACAAGCTACCATGGGTGCACAGCTGCTCGGCTAACATCACGCAACTGCTGGTGGCTGAAACAACTACTGTATACACAGCACGGCGACGACGATGAACACTCTTTGGACCTTTTCAACTTGGATACATCTACTAAGGCAGTAACCTCGTTTCAGCTGGAAGTAAGCCCACCACCCAGCAACAAACAGACCCAGAACTGAAAAAGCTACTACTAGTTCTGAAGATGGCTGTTTTACCCACTCCATCTTTGTCTGGGGTGCATAACCAAAAGACTTTCCATCGCTGATTCCGCTTAGTTTAAGAAAAGTGAACCGTGTAATTACGTACAGTGCTTTATGTTGCCACAACTAGTGCAAGATACAGGAGCACCGAAAACCTTTAGAAAAAAATAGAAGAGTCGACGAATGATTAAGAACAAAAGGTCAGATACATCGATGGCTGCGTGAAGTCGCCATGTAGCTGAATACCTTCTATCATTAATCTGGTGAATCTTTGATACCCCAACCCCACAGGCGGTATGCACCAGGGTAGCCAAAGTTCACTGTTGTTTTACTTGTACCGTCTCCAGGTCATGCGTTACCCACCCTGTGGTATCTTCCAGTCGAAAACTGCTTCAACAAACAGGACATGGGGAAGCCATCGAGCACCTGACATGCGGAGCGCATGGGCGAGATATCTTCGGTTGTGCAGCTTAATCAACTTGTTGATTGGACAAACAGCTGGTTTGTTGACAAAACCATTAATCGTACTTCGGCACTGCTTATTCGATGTTCAGATAATACACGGGTAGTACTCCGAAAGCTCCGATGATCTTCTCTTGTCTTCAATGCAAAGCGGTCACGGTTTACAGCCGTAAAGCAAAACTAGACGCACAGAAGCGTTATGGACCATGACTTTCACCGAAAGACTAGCATCACGTCGAGCCCAGAAGTGCTTAATCTGAAGAAAAGCAGAACGGGCTCTCGCGATTCTAATATTCATTTAGTTGGTAGTGTTGCCGTCCGACGTGGTGCAACTACCCAGGTAGATAAATCTACCCATCATCTTTAATGGTTCTGATGCCATGACCAGCTTTGGTGGTACACTGCCCAGTCTCGTAATAGCACTTGCAGCTTGAAGGTGCACAGCTCATACCATGACAACGCTACTGAAATTAGTTAGTATAATTTGTATGCGGCTAGGATCTGTACCAAGCTTTAGAAAAAAATAGAAGGGTCGACGAATGATTAAGAACAAAAGGTCAGACACATCGATGGCTGCGTGAAGCCGCCATGTAGCTGAATACCTTCTATCATTAATCTGGTGAATCTTTGATACCCCAACCCCACAGGCGGTATGCACCAGGGTAGCCAAAGTTCACTGTTGTTTTACTTGTACCGTCTCCAGGTCATGCGTTACCCACCCTGTGGTATCTTCCAGTCGAAAACTGCTTCAACAAACAGGACATGGGGAAGCCATCGAGCACCTGACATGCGGAGCGCATGGGCGAGATATCTTCGGTTGTGCAGCTTAATCAACTTGTTGATTGGACAAACAGCTGGTTTGTTGACAAAACCATTAATCGTACTTCGGCACTGCTTATTCGATGTTCAGATAATACACGGGTAGTACTCCGAAAGCTCCGATGATCTTCTCTTGTCTTCAATGCAAAGCGGTCACGGTTTACAGCCGTAAAGCAAAACTAGACGCACAGAAGCGTTATGGACCATGACTTTCACCGAAAGACTAGCATCACGTCGAGCCCAGAAGTGCTTAATCTGAAGAAAAGCAGAACGGGCTCTCGCGATTCTAATATTCATTTAGTTGGTAGTGTTGCCGTCCGACGTGGTGCAACTACCCAGGTAGATAAATCTACCCATCATCTTTAATGGTTCTGATGCCATGACCAGCTTTGGTGGTACACTGCCCAGTCTCGTAATAGCACTTGCAGCTTGAAGGTGCACAGCTCATACCATGACAACGCTACTGAAATTAGTTAGTATAATTTGTATGCGGCTAGGATCTGTACCAAGTAACGCAACGTCGCCACATACCTAATATTTAAGGTCTTTCCCGAAGAGAAGCCTCACACCAGAGTTAGAAGACAGCACACGCCCCCTAGACCACTGACTTGATTATGAAATCAGAGAGGAAAAATTAAAAGACCAGTCCTAACGTATACCAATTGCGATGATGAACATAGGAGAGTACTTCCCGTGGACCATCACGCACCCTTGTGATGTTGGAATATAAGGGTTGGGAAACTGCGACGAAAATTTTCGGCTTATTTTTGAAGGAGAGACATCGCCTCAAGAAAAGGACTAGGTGGAACAGAGCAATTAGATTTAAGAAGACAACAATTGTGGGCTTCTACAGGTGTGGCAGTGTTCTGAGCGGACAGACTCCAGCTCAGTTTTCACAACTCTCCTCAGTCCCCCCTTTTTTTTGAAGGATAGAACCATGTCAGATATCTTATGCTGTTTTGGCACTTCATTCGTCTTCCAAACGCTCTGTTTGAGTTTTGCCACACTGAACTAGTCCTTCTCTACTATCCTTAAACAAGACCGGGGAAATACTCAGAACCGAATGCTCTATTTCCCCTCAACAGCACGATTTCGTTTTTTATTTCACTTTCCGTTATGATAGAACAGTTCATGTTCGTTTGTGAACTTGGTGATGGATTGTACGTCAGGCTGAGCATTTCATGCAGGTGAAATGTTACTCGAAGTGTCTTACTCACCGAAAAAGGGGGTGAGACTTGGGATGGACTTTGGAACCATCTCCCCTGTAATGACTTCACCGACGGGCAACTTTCCTGGCCCGATGTTGCGGGTAAGTTGGGACAGAGTTCAACTATTTTCAGTCACCACCGGCATTTCAATTTATTGGGTTTTCCTTGGTCATCACTTCGCCAGGTCAGTCTTGAGGCTGTGGGCCAGGCCTCATCTCAGGGATTTTCGCACTCGCATTGTTGTGGAACGATCTTCCTGGCCTCGATAGAAGATATGATTCGTTGTGAAATCATAGTCAAACTGAGCCGTGGCGCTTTTTGCAGACGCATAGAATTGAGCGTTGAAATCATGTCTCGGGTTTAAAAACGGTGTTCATTTGACGGACTATTTTGTTTCGTAATCTAGATAGCTGCTGCTGATGATTCACCGTATGTTGCAGTCACTGAACATCATAGAGGTGAATGGTCTCCCTATCTGTCGGGAAACGAGATGCAACAAGGGCGTGAATTTGGACACGACTCGACTCCATACATAGGTTTCAAAAGGCTCAACAGTCTTGAATGCAAGATCTCCATCTCCAGCTGATTTCTATGTAGTCTATCGAGTGCTCGATTGTTTACGCTTTGAAAGATGCCAGGTAACGGGACGCTTACGTTTACGCTCAGTATTTGCAATAAAGACAAATGGATGGTGATCAACAGACAACTGTCGCACTCAACTTGGTACCCAGACCAGTGGTATGACAGTGAGATGTCCCTGGATAACCTGAAACCTGGAGAGTGAACCGCAAACGAAATGAGCTGTCTTGAACCGTGTTCAGATGTATTGCCGCGTTTTGGAGATAACAGCAATTTTTGAAGAGAAAAGGCTGTGGGCGTGAGAAGCCCGTTGATCCGTTTGGTAAAGGGCACAGTAACTAAATGCTGCTACTTTTAACACATTCCTTGGTGTTAGCAGTGTCTTTGGGTTTTACTTTTCTGAACAGAGAGATAAGAATCAACACTCAATTTATAGCAATACAAATATCCAGGGTTGTTTTGGCATGGGTAGTAATAAAAACTGGACCAAACAAATTAGGGAAATTAGCCATTGCTTATAAGCTGCGCGGCAGACGTTGCTTCTCGATTGACAGCAGAAGAAGGGGGTTTGTTCGGGGTACCCTTCTCGAGCCCTTGACTCACAAAGTAGAGAGAGTAAAGTCTTGTTTCGGGGTTCTGTCCACAGTCTATGGCAAAACATTTCGACCTACTTTGCTGTGGAAGGCTTGCCTAGCCCGACAGCAAAGGCGGGAACGTCTAACTGTCAGGAGTCTGGGTTTAAAAGCAATTCAACCGTATTGAACAGTGCGCCGGCAGTCAAAGTCAACTGTTGGGCGATCTGAGCGTGCATTTTCTACGCCTGACCGTTTCTAACCCGTTCTTCTTCTGAAGAAGGCAGCATCGTCACATCCACAAATATGAGCGTACTAGTCGTTTGAAGGGAACCCTTGACAACCTTCACACTCCAATTGGAAGCGGCGCTGCTTCCAGACCGCCTTGTCCAAGAGCTAACTGCAGCAGCCAGAAAAACAGCAACCAGTACTTCCAGTAATCGCAGCAAGACGTGGCCCCAACAGTTTCATCCGAAAGATGGTTTGAATATGGGCGGTCATAAAACCGCATGCACCGATCGCCTAACGTATGACTGACACCACCAAACGGAATACAATAGGCTGGGTCTCCAATAAAAGCAATTCGGTTACGAAATACGGACAACTTAATAAGAGCCCACATATTCTAAATTTTACTATTAAGGTATAGGGTGAACTGATGCAACGGTTTAAGGCATCAGCAGCTGAATAAAACCGCAGCAAACGGAAATCTTCACGCCGTACGGTTTTCTGATCCAACTAAGAGCAATAGAGCTCAATGCGGTAAACGGTGTTTGTTTGCCTTACCAGCACACGCCTAAACGGTTTAATTCTGAAGCTGACAAAAAGTAGTCCCATCGATATTTGCCAAAATTACTTCAGTCAGAAAAAAGAAGGACATCATCAATTTGGCCGGTGGTAAGAAGAAGCATGCTATTGTAGAGTACGGCTTAAGGATGAACGTCAGTGAAACGATTTGCGAAAAAAATAAGTAACAAAAAAGTGGTCACGCCTCAAGTTCCAAAAACAAACAACCTGACCAAGCCAGTGGGGACAGTCTGGAATCCCGAAAGCAAATAAAACGGATTGATGAATAGATAGTCAAGAAAAGTACCACTGTGAAGGCATGCAACGCCTACAGGTGAATAGCAAAGCAATAGTATTGAAAACATGCACAATCACTCACGCGGACTGTCACCTCCAAACCAGATTGAGAGAAACATCTGGAGAATTTGGAACTGGAGGCATTCAAGCGTGCGAGTGACTTATCCATCAATTGATCGTTTGGCAACTACAGCAATGGGAAAATATGTGAAAATGGATTGAGGAATATGTAGCACTCTATAAACCAAGCAGCGCTAGCTGAAGTAAATCAAGCACAAGGGTGACTGGTGGGGCCGTTGTACGGATTACTATGTTTAAATGATGCAAAGCACAAAGCAGTCCATTGAAAGTTTACCCTGAGCACAAAATGAAACCCGAATCCCTACAAACCATGTAATGTCGAATGAGAAAGATCGCGAGTGTTGCAGAAATTGACCTGATCCAGCCCCTTCTTGAGGCGCACCAAAAACTGCTCCTAGCAAAAACCATGTAAGGCTGCTTATTTCTTTTTTTTTAGTTGTGCCTTCAATACGGCGTGGGACGAAACTAGACTGATAGGCTTTGGCTTGGGCTAAAATGAAGGATAAAAACAATCGGCTTCCGATGAAATTCAGCGATGACAGTCGTACTAAGAGGGCATAAAATCTCCCTACTTTGGAGTCAACGCTGTGTGTGGAGGAATCACACATCAGAGGTTCCGAAAAAAACATGTACAAACTGAACGAACATATACCAGATACAGATGGGTTATGAACTTAAATCTCAACAGAGCTCACAGAACAGAACCCTGTATACCATTTCCGAATCGTCCCTGCTATTCCAAGAGAGCGGACTACAAGAAAGTGAACTTATTTAAACCAAGGAAGTCATGTGGATCACGATAATAAAACCGCTGACAAAGACAACGTTCAAATTCTCGTGGGTCCTGTCAGACACACGGGCTCTAAAAGCCTTCAGACATCAATGCGGGATCGACTGTTGGAGTGTCTATCGATTTCCGATGACTGAGCGTCATTTGACGGCCAAAATCCAATATCAGGAGGGAAGCATTTGTACTCTGAAAGTGACTGGTGGTGACACTACTCGGCAGCCTTCCCTTTACCGAAAATTGATGTTCCATCTAGTGGCGAAGATTCCCGCTTTCAATGCCCTCATGAATGAACGCAGTGGTGTCTTGAATAGAGAGCTATTATGGATCATGTTGGAAAACATAAGTGACGAGAGGCGGCCATGCGAGGCAATTGCCGAGACAAACGCAGAATGTGCAAAATCACGAAAATGCACCTGCAGATGAACCATACTGCAGCAATAAGGTCTCTTTTGACATTGGTCTTAAGTCGAAAGGATTTCATTGCTCCAAAGTTGCGGAAGCATATTGCAAATTTGGTGATGTTTGCTAAATGTGCATTGGCTTTTATTAGTAAGTAACGCTGATTAACATGGCCCCAGTAAAAAGGTTCTTTCTGGAGAATGCGACTGGCTAGCGATCGAAGTCCAGTTGATCGTACAAAACAGCCATCTATTTCAAAACAACTGCGATGGGAATGCGCTTCTAGTGAGTTGGAAGCAGAACATGTAGCATGGTGTGAAAATCAATGCTCCCAATGTTTAAATTGGCCAGTAAACATCATGCGGCAAAATCGAACAACGTTTACACTAGTGCGTCCGTATAAGATCGCGCCATTTTACACAAGAATGTGAAGCTTCTACTTTTATCGAGACATGCAAATACGGTATTGGATTCATACAGATCAATCATAGTACACCAAGGACATAAGTGGCCAAATGATTCCCCGAAGAAATGGTAAGACAGTGGTGAATGACAGTACAAAACGATCACGACTGAGGGAAGATGACTTACAAGCAGACGAACGATCAACTGATCTGTAAATACTCCGACAACAAATAAGGGTTGGTTATCATCATTGCGCCTCAGATGCCGAATCCTATGACGGACACGGCGTAAAGAAATGCTCGGCTCATTGGTCGCCATTTTGCACAAGAATGTGAAGCTTCTACTTTTATCGAGACATGCAAATACGGTATTGGATTCATACAGATCAATCATAGTACACCAAGGACATAAGTGGCCAAATGATTCCCCGAAGAAATGGTAAGACAGTGGTGAATGACAGTACAAAACGATCACGACTGAGGGAAGATGACTTACAAGCAGACGAACGATCAACTGATCTGTAAATACTCCGACAACAAATAAGGGTTGGTTATCATCATTGCGCCTCAGATGCCGAATCCTATGACGGACACGGCGTAAAGAAATGCTCGGCTCATTGGTCCCTGGATTAACCGGAAGCCGAAGGTCACTGGCACTGCTGTGCTTCGTTACGACAGGTGGAACAGAGCTTTCAACTAAGTCAGGTAGATCAGCTGATGAGAAGGAGTTGGGGAAATGCAGAGTCTCAAATGTGCTATCCATATGCTGTTTAGCATCTTCATACACGAGGTGGATCAGATCAACACAGGTTGGACGCGTGCCTCCAGATTGTTGGATGTCATCATCATCATCACCATCTGAATTGCTTAATTCCGTATTTGGTGGCAAAATATTAGGCACCAACGACCACATCCACGAAGCCCAGGATTGCTGGTTTCCTTGGTCTGCTGGACTCATATCACTGGGGTTATCTGTAATTTCAGGAACATCCTTTGTCGTTTTTTCCGCATCACCTTCGGTCAGGTGACCCATGTTCACAGGGGCCAACTTCGACCAATCCACGTTCTCAGTGTGTACAGCAGCAAACACTTCCAAAAGACGGACTAAAGCATGCACCTGATGAGGGCTCAGTCTCACCTCCAAAGTTTGCGCGTGTACATCCATCGTGGTTATTGTAGCCAGAGAAGCCTTGAAAAAATCTAGGCCTGGAGGATATACCAATTCGATAAGACAAGATAGGCTGAACCGGTATACCAATGGCTGTTCGTAAGTCTCCACATAACCAGTGGGCCCACAGTGGTCTAAGCATATGGTGACATCTGAGACTTGAAGTTTTCTACGCACGAAGGTGCTGCTATCAGAAGGAGTTGACTGAAATGTAATTTTCCATTCGTGTGTGGTGGGATAAAAGTCCAGCAGATTACAGCTCAATGACAACACGATATCATCCAGAAGGAACTTGATACTTAGGTTGTACACAACAATCCGTATATTCGCCAAAAGGCGATGAAGATAGGATTGTAGATAACCAGGGGCGATATTCTGGTCTGGATTGTATTCGGATGATGGCGGCTCGGTGCTCGAGAGGACAGGAGCCTTCGTAAGTCCACATGATTGTGGCTTTTTCAGGGTCAGGACACACTCCACGGTATGCAAGGAGATCACAATATTTTCCGAGTTAAGCTTTGTCCATGGAACATGAATTCGCAGTTCACGGACGCGACCTAAACGTAACCCGACTGGTATGGGAAACAAGTTCTCCACTGATTCGCAACGTAGTTCAAGCTCATTTAGGATTACATCACCCTCCCATATGGACATGGCAACCTGATCATCTCGTAATTTGACATAGGTGTTCAGATAGCTCATAATCAGCTTCCCAACATACGTCTCCAATTTGAAAAAGCGTTGCATTTTGGAAAACAACGGACGGAGTGTTTGGTTACCTGAAAGCAAAAATATTTTAACTGCAAGATAGCTCGTCAGTTCCAACACCGTAGAAAAAAAGTTTCAATAGCACTACGATAGCACCAAGTTAGGTCACCGATCGGAGTACCGTTTAGGGAAACAACGGATTACCGATATTATACAACGCACAGTGTGTGCATGACAGAAAAAGGTGAGACAACCAGGTAAAAATCGATAGGACAAAGTTTTACCGGTACCCAAATAGATTGTGATGTGTCTTGCCCGATGGGAGTTCACCACCCCTCAGGACACCAGATAATACTTTGTCTTACGGGAGCATTTGCAATAAAACGTTCCAGAAGTTCCATCTGATGAAGGACAATAGTGGATAAAGCCTATGAGTAACCAGGGGTGTAGAGCAAGTCAGAATGAAAGGGCAGAGTATGGGTGAGAAAGTATCGTGCAGACTTGGAAGAAGTGGTGGGCCACGAAGACACAGACGTCAAAAAAGCAACCACGATGAGAATCAAAAGTATTTAAGACATGTCCTCATGATAAGTAAGTTCGGATAAGAGCGGTGATGGTCGGCAAAACAAGGTGAACTGAAAGGCAGAATGCAGTGCCGGTTATTTCAATGTACTCGCTAGAGATAATAGTGCAGTTGGAGACCGTCAAGTCCCTAAATTATGGAGCCATTTGACTGTCCAGCGGACAGCACGCAGGTTAAAAAAACAAACAACTATGATGGAATATCAGATGCAGACGAATGATCCAAGGGTTCAAAAGCCCTGCTAGACCAGCAGGAAATTCAAGGTATACTCCCACCAATCGCTGATTGAGGTCATCAGCATAGACCAAACAGTCCGTTTGGACTACTTTGGAGGATAATTGACGGATTAGAACACGGTCCCGCGGAAAGACACTAGCCACAACAGGCATGGAGCAGGCATCCTTCACCTTCACTTTTCCGTCGGCCTTCCAGCAAATGATCGATCCGAAAGAACCTCCCGATGACAGTGAACCTCTGGAATTTTAGGGACCTTGACAAACCGAGAAAAACCAAGTATATGTGGCATTGTACTCTTGACGAGGGAGAATGCGCGTCCGAGCTTCGAGGAATTTCGCAGTGCTCCTCGGAATTCGGTGCTTTGATCAAGGTGGTTGCGCAACTCTGCAAGTGGAACCCTTCAGTCACTAACGAAGCTGGTGTTTGAAACATCATCAACTGTAACAACTGCGTACTTGTTGTACGGTGGATATAGCTGACACATTTGTTCACCGAAATCGAAATGAGGTACATAGAGACACATTGGAGGCGGTAGCCGATGTAAATTATGCGTAAATACAAGAATGTCAGTGGGCTTTTAAGTGGGGAAGTGGGAAGGAGAGCCATACAATGAAGGCAATAGCCTGCATGCACCAGCGCCATTGAGGGTGCCAATGAACTGTGTCACACTGCCTCTAACCATTGATGTCTCCCGTCCCGAGGTCCCCATACAAAGAAACGCAAATGATCAATGCGGCTGAGTTTTCTGGTAACGGCTTTCATAGTTCGTTGCTAAATCGCTGCTTAACCTATCCTGGTTCACTTCCACCCTTCACATGGCTTTGCTAAACAGGTTCTTTGAAGAATCGACTGGTGTGTGACCAAGCGGGCGCAACATACGGAGCGTGATCAGTTCATCTAATTCTTATAAAACCATTTGATATACTTTAGAATTACTGCAAAGTGTTCCCCCACGACTCGGATAGTGCTTTGAAGACATCTAACGCTGAGAGTTTTTGATGTCCTCAGCGCTCAACAGCCAGATTTCTGACCCGTATAACAATACGGAGCACACCGCAACATCGTAAACTAGACTGCTGACGGATAAGCTGATAAGCCACAGGCGATGCAGGATCGTAGACGCAGCCGTCTTCCCAATCCAATCATTTTTGGATGGACGAAATGGGTTGATACAGCTGCCAAGTTAAGCAAATTTGTCTATTACCTCAAATGGTTCACCTGAAAGGATGAGGTTATCGTTCGAGCCTACCCAGTCTTCCAGAAGCACTGTGAGGTGTGAGGCGCATGTCAGACAGAATTATGTAGACAAATTAAACAGGTATGTGTTTTTGAACGATATCGCCCATATATTCAATGTCTGTGAACGAAAGACCGAGAGTATTTCAACCCCGGGGTTCACCAGGGCCGGACCTTCTATGAAGATTGCGGAGTGCATATTAGCCGGACCAGGTGTGCTGTAGCTTTGGAGGACTGACATCACACGCTGGATTCCTGTTGCTAATGGCGGACCGGTGTCGGTGTTTCATTCAGGCTCACTGATCTATTCCAGCGGTTGTGCTGAAAGATACCAGCTGAACTGTTCTTCGAAGTGCTCAGTCCATCGCTGGAAATACCACGAGCCGTTGCTTCAGGATCACCAGAAATCCGAAGAGAGCTGAACTGTCTTCGAAGTGCTCAGTCCATCGCTGGAAATACCACGAGCCGTTGCTTCAGGATCACCAGAAATCCGAAGAGAAAACCGTGGAAAACTTGAGCTCGTCCTAAGCAACTTTAGGTGCACCACCGAAGTAGGGTCTTGTATTCATTTCGGAGACATAACATACACCGACAGGTACTAAAAGCAAGGCGTCATAAAAAGATGCCCGTTACCAAATTTGATAAACAGTACGGATATTAAAGACTGAAATGTGGATCAGATCCATTGAGCTTAGTGAGTTGTCGTTTTCGTTTATTCTGCGTGATGCTTTCATCACCAGCATCATCGAGAGCACAACATCAATGTTCATCACTGACGCTTCACAGCCATATAACCACGGTTTACTTGAAATCCTTATTGTGATGGGGAAGAGACTTAGTGACAGCTTACTACAAACAATCAATCCGCGGTGCCTACACCCCCAGATGCTCACTTAGACAACCTGAATAAAAACTGACAACAAGAACACAACTGAGATGGACTAGCAGCCATAACTTGCAGCGTCTCCAACCAGGCGCAGTAAGATCTCGTATTCTCTGTCTTGGAAGGCAAGTAGCACCACAACAACCAAACGTTTCGTAATCTCTTTCATACTCGTCTGTCAGCTAGAGGACCGGTCACCTTTCTGCTTACCTCACTTAGAACTGGGCAGGGAAAACAGCACTCTCTTCGGCAAACGATCGTTCGGCATGCGGAATATATGACCCAACCGACGCAGCTTTTGGTGCTATGCAAAATCGTTCAGCTGTAGCACCCATTCGGTGCCTAGCTGCTATGCTACCCGAAGGAAGCACGACGGCTGGGATACTGCCAGGTTGTCCAAGCCTAGACAGGGAAAGTCGAGAGGCAGAGGTCAGGTTCGAACCACGGACCTTCCGGTCAGCAAATTCGCGCTCCAACCACTTGGGCCATTTCGCCCCCATCTCCCGAGCTTTCGATGTCCACCACAGCTCTCAGCATCTCCTTAGACTCTTCATTGTTTGACGTTTGACGGATTTGTGTGTGCCGTCGTACTTGTTGCCTGCTGGTATGGATTTCCTGGCATCAACCATGGATGGTGACCTCGACAACATCCAATGGTCTTTTGGACGGATCGGAGAACTCGGACAGGCAGTACTGAACGCCACCAACATAGCTCCTTTCGCATTTTGTCACGCTTCATTCACACGCTTACTGCCACCACAGTATTGGTTTACTGTGGAGGGTTATTTGGCTAGCTCAGATTGAGACCGTTGAGCCATGGTAATTCTTCGATAATAGTGGATTGGCATGCTTCTTGCTGACTTGTAAGGGCCTGGGGGAAACAAACTGTCGAGCGTGCACACACCCTGACGTGACCGGAATCAAGTTTTGTTCCCCAGAAGGAACGGCAGCCTTGAATTTTAGTTCTCCACTGGAGGCTGAGGGTCACGTGATCCAAGTGGGTCCATGGTTGATTTGCACTTGGTGGCCGCCAGGTTACGCGATTCGAACGTCTATGTTGAAAGTTCGTACTGGCCAAAAACAGCTGATGATCATGCAATTGGAGGAGTCGTTCTGCGTTGTCTGAGCGACATGGATTCCGTTGCATGGATTCCGAATCGACCGTCCAAATTTCATTCCGAGGAGCTCAGATGACCAACTTGTGAGTGAGGCGAACGCTGGAGGATCTTCAAAACTCCGGCGTTCAAACTGCCGCTGGTGAGAACCTTGTAGATCTAAAGTGCATAGACGACATCGGCCTTATCTTTGAAGACCAAGGCGAAGCATAGGATCTCTGGAATAGACTGACCACCGTTATACCATATTTCGACAAGCGCCTATCACCTTCAAAGTGCAAAGTTATGCCTCAGAACGTACATTTTCTGAACGTACCCCTTACAATTCAAGGAGAATCGCTGGAAGTAGTGAAGAATTTTACATGCCTCGGTAATGGAAGTAGCTGCGACGGAATCTCAAAGACTCGAGTCACGGTTTCTAATCTGTCACTTGTGGCCTCTATAGGCATATTACTGGGTCTTAAGTATCGCATGTACCAGACTACAGTAAGGCCTATGTTGTTGTATGGGTGCGAGACGTGGCAAACAGACGATGTGAGGTGTCTTCAGGTTTTTGACCACCGATGCCTCAGAAGCGTTGGTGGTTCTAGATAGCCTCAACGGATTGGTAATGGAGTGTCCAGAAAACGGGTACTTGGTTGTGCAGCAGGTACTTCAACCACAGAAAACATCCAGCATCAGCAAATCCGATAGCTTGTCATGTGCTACGCATGCCGAAACACCATCTGCGTGCTTCCTTCAGAATAGCGCAAACCCCGAGATCGACTTGGCATTAGGGCATGAAGGAGACTACGAAGGGTTTGTGTTGTTGATGTTGTATACTTTCCAGAATGGGATCCCTGTGACCCCACCTGTACCTGGCTGGAGACATTGCAGAAACTGGGGCTGATCGACGTGAGTGGTGTTCGTGCTGTCAACTTTCAAGACTTTTTGACTGAGAGTTTGGGGATGTAGGCACCTCAGAATGCTTGAAATAGGTCGGCAAAAGGTCCCCTTCCTTACACACGTTTTCTCTTTTTCTCACTCTAAGGCTTTACACATGATCAGACAAATTTTGACTGCACGGCAATGAAGCATAAGTGTCAATGTGAAAATGTTAAGTCCATCCTTGGCGATTTGGGGTGTACAACAAAGTTTGGGTCTTGTATGCGTGTTTCATAGGTACCAGACCTCGAGTCTTTGACTCAAGACCAGGCCCAAAAAGCAGTCGGATGCAAGGTTATGTACGGAGACCCTATCCTAGGCTGTGACTAAAAAACCTTACTAGCGATACAGCAAGCCGTGAGGTTTTCTTCGGGGCCTTGCCTGGAATCAATGACTCCATAGTCTGACCTGCTGGGATGCAGGATCCTGGACTAACTCAAGGGCACAGGGAGTAAGACACTAGTGTCTTCCTCCTAATATGGATGAATCATCGAAGTTAACGGTCCTGAATATTTTTCACGACTGAAGCACCTGCTGCACAAACAAATACCTGTTTTGCAATTACCATGTTACGAATTCTTTGGCGTCACCCAATACCAGCAACGCCTCTGAGGCATCACGGGTTAAAAACCTGAAGACGGCCCACATCAACTGCCCGATGAGAAAATGTCTCACAGTCATACAATAGTCTTTACTGTAGCCTGGTACAAGAGACCTAGAGACCCATTAATGTGCTGTTTTGGTCCCACAAGTGACGCAAATTAGCAAAAGCGACCCATGAGCCAGCAATCAGAAGAGTTTCCACTTAGAACCCTTACCGCAGTCAACGACTCAATGGTCTGACCCACTCTGCTGCAGGAACTGGCCTGATCCGAGAGCACAGGTAGTGAGACATTAACGCGCGCGTTACTGTCAGTCACCTGCACAAAACAGGTACCTTTCTAGAAGCACCACACTCTGGTTTTAAAAGTAATTTGACCGTATTGAATAATGGGTAGACGGCCACGGTCAACTGTTGAGCGATCGAAGTGTGCAGTTTTTAGACAGAACTCTTCTAACCCCTCCCTCCTCGGATGAAGGTGGCATCACAGCTCCATAAATACGGACATTTTGACCTCCCCTTCCTGTCATCACACTTTCACTGCCGAGGACAGTATGACTTTATACCCAGTTCACCTTGTAGCATGATTATTCGGAGTACGAAGTCCCGCGGTTTTTGGTATGACTGCCTCCCTTGACCTTCGTAGAATGATTGCACCTTGTAGAACGAGGTTCCCACCAGTGTAGCCCACGGGATCATTGCATCGCTCAAGCTCGACCATCGCTTTAAGGTGACAGCTTTAGATGGGGATAAACAGTATAGATACAGTCAAACGACGATGTTTTAGTTAATACTGGCGAGAAAATGACCACATGACGAGTAAACGCACGTGGAATTTGTTCAACTTAGTACTGAGATCAAGAGACAAAAACCTAATTTATTATAAATTCTAGTTCCACACTCATACACTTAGCACGAATAACCATTGCGAGCTGTACAACTGTGCGTACTTCGCTGGTAAACGTGAAGAAACACGAGCATTCCCTAGACCCAGCGTACGGGTGAAAAGTATCGACTCTAAAAATGTGCATGTTCGCAGCGAACCCAATCGATGTCAGTGACGCTATTGTTGTCAGTTTCTATCCAGATTGCCTGAATGAGCGTTTGGAGGTGTAGGCGCCTCGGAATGACTGCTAGCACTAAGCCCCTTCCCCGTCCACCTTTATTCTTTTTTACAATAAGGCTTTCGAATAAACCATGGTTGTACGTCAGCGAAGCATCGGCGTTAATGTCATACCGTCAATGACGATGATGACTGCACCCATTTGCCGCTGTTGAGCAAAGTAGTTCTCACTTCTTCATCGAACCTCACACAAACAATATTGAGCTCAAAATGAGAATTCCGTGAATCGACTAAACCCCTATTGAAGAATGGATGTTTTAGTGATATTATACTTTGTATGATTTTTCCAACTAACATAACCACAGGGATATCTTAATGGCGTTCAATTCAATGGTGCTTGCTACATCATCGGATATACAGGCCTCAATCTCCAAGGCCTGGGCTAGACTCAAGCTTCGTTAATTTGAACAACCGTCCGATGCCATATGCGACCCATATACCACATATGATGCTATTACGCCCACCGGAACATCACACTCTGACGATTTTACCGTCGTTACAGTCGAAGTATAGCCATAATTCAATTGAAGTGTCACACGGGCTGTCCTGTAAGTCATGACCAACGCATGTAACACTCTGCTTCAGTTTATCTTACCATCCTGTCGATAGCCTACAGATTTGCCTCCGCGATTAGAACCCCTTAATCAAAAGTCCCGTTTTCAAGGAAAGCGCCCCAGGTGTTGCGCAGAAGGCCGTTAACGATGGACTGATAGGATGGAGTTACATGAAGTCCAGGTGTTGATTCGAGGACATCGTGGTCGCGCGTCCACAACAGACGCGGGGTAGATACGAAATCACGCACGGGTTAAGTCAACCCTAGGGTTTGAACACGTCACCCGAGTCATTTGGACGGTTTAAACGATACACTAACAACTGAGCTACCAGAGTCCTCGAGCCACCAATAATTCTGTGGGTCTTTCACATACTCCGAGTACGAGGGATATATCACTATAACCACAACTTTTCGATTTTTCATTTTTGTGACCTATGAGAAATTCACGAAAGGCTCCGTAGGATTCCAACAACAAATAGAACCTTAATTCGGTTCATACGCACTGTAACAGCGTTCTTATAAATGTTTGTTCCACTCGCACTCCGTTTTGGCTAAGGTGTAACGTTTTTTTTTAAATATAATCCCCGGCGACTTACACGGTCTCTATATGCATGCGATGAGTGTTGTTGACACAAATTAGTGATACCTAAAGCGCCATCCAGCAACTATGTATAACCATACAGTCGAAAACGACGTATTTATAGTGCAGGTCCAATTTGTATGGGAAGAACAAAGTAGAATATGTCTACGGGGTTGTGGTAATAGCATCAGCCGAGTCTGAGGGCACATGCTTGGACAATGCCAAGATATGGCCGTGGCTTGAATCCTTGTTGCGTCTCAACAATAGTTTGGGACAATACCGTCGTCGCTGAGAGGGACTCACACGCACAGCAGACGTCTTGGCCCTCAACTATCAAATAGATGATTCGTTCGATCAGCCACCATCCTGGAGAACGAGGAATCCAGGGGAAAGCCACTTCAAGTAAGTATTCACCATGCCGGTCAGGCTAGGCTGTTGCGACATGCCAAGGACGAGCACAAGGTACAACCTGATTGGGTCAGCACGTGAATCAATCAGAATCGAGGATTTTGCGCCCGAAATTTTCCAACTAATCGCAAAATCGCTCATGTTTGCCGCAAGCTAGAAGCACACACAAATTATTTTCACCGAACCTATACGCTTTTGAACCCTGCAACTTTCACGTGGAATCAGTGTAAGCAGTTTGCACCTTGCAGTAGTATGTTGTACGCAACTTTTTGTTTAAGTGAGCGACATCTCAAGGTCACGGACCATCACCGATTCACGCATTACACAGATTGATACACAGGATCGAGGTTTTTGCCCGCCCA